ATAATTATAAAATAAATAAATAATTTAAACATAAAAAATATAACATTTGTTCATATACTCACATAATTATATCTTTTCGTATAAACTATTAAATTAACATTTAAAATTTAACATAATAAAAATAAAAGATAATAAAGTTAACATCCATAAAATAAAACTATCTAATATAAGATCCTTAACCATCACAAATTATCAACTTGAATCCCCTCCTTGACTTGGCTTTTCGCATTCACTCACATAGGATATATCTACCAATTGAAAGAAAAAAAAAACATAATTAATATAACTTTTTTTAATAACAAAGTAAAAGAAGATTAAAAATGAAAATTTATGTAAAAAGTCATAAAATTTATGTGAAGAACGTATTTCTAACATCTTCACTCATCAATCGTCAATAACAGAAATGGAATCCACAATCCCAATCTTTGACATCTCTAAAATGCATAAACAAAAAAAAAATTAAAAGAAATAAAGAAATAATAACTGAAAAAATAGAAATGAAGTGAAAATATTAAATATACATTATATTTTACATAAATTTAAAAATAATATATATCATAATATTATATATATTAATATATATAATTAGTTTAGTTTTTTATTAGTTTGATTTAAAAATTTTAAAACCAAGAACTGACCAAAAATCAATTAGACCAAATATTTTAAACCAATTGACTTAATAAATCAATTAGATCATACCCTCTTTATCCAAATTATATTTAATTTGAATGGATAATTGATCTAATTTGACTTTACTCTCCTCTACCTCTATCTTATTGAACAAGGAGAACTAAGTGTGGGTATGAGAATAGAAAGAGTTCTAACATCATGTTTGGTACAAGGAAGAGCTTAGCTATTCCCATGTTTTCTGTTTACCTTTGGTAAGCAATGTCATAAGGAATAGTTATTATTTAGTATTAGCTATTCTTTAAAATGAGATAAAACTCAGACTTAACTAAACCTAAGCTCCTCATAATATTTGTTATCCCATGGTTGGCGAAATAGCTTTAAAATCTAATAAAACTAATATATCTCTTATAACTTAGAAATATTACGATCCTAGACATATTAATATTTTTTTTCTTCTCATTTTCCATTCATCTTTCTCTCTCTTCTCATGTTCTTGCCTTTCTCATTTTCTCTCTAACATGCAATCATCACCAAAGATGATGATGGTAGCGACAGACGACGATAGTTCCACGATTAAATATGGTCGAAAAGCATCAATGTAGTACTTTTCACTAAGATTCAACAAAAGAGTCATCGAATCAGGGATTTACAGCTTGATTTGGCAGCAAGAAGTACAGAATTTGGTGCTTCTCGACTAGATCCCCATGGTTGGATCTAGCACTCTACAGCTAGATCCAGCCACGAGAAGCATTGATTTTGCACCCTAGTGGCTAGATCGCCAAATCGATGTTTTATTACACTAGTTACATTTTCAGTGATCGACCCATGGAGAAGAAATAAGGAAAAAAGGAAAAAATAGAATAAAAAAGAAAAAAATTATTTATAAATTATAAACTATAAATATTTTATATATAATTTAAACATTATTAATATTAATATGATTAAAATATTAAAATATTAATATTTTAAAATATTAATGTTTATTTATTAAATTATTAATATATTAAATTTTAATGAGTATAAATAAAAAATAAAATAAAATAAAGAAAAAATAAAAAATTGTACTAATATTTTAATAATAAATTATTAAATTTTAAATTTTTAAAAGTTTAATGAAAATAAAAATTAAATAATTAAAAAAAATTTACTTATATTTGTCTTTTGGTATAAATTTTACTAAATTATGTAAAGAGTATTTTGTTGTTTTAAAAAATAAATATTATTATAATAAAAAGTTTTAGTTTTAATTATATAATATAAAAATTAATATTTTAATAATATTATTATTAAATTATAGTTAAAATATTAATAATTAAATTATATTAAAACAATAATATTTTAAAATATTAATATTTAAATTATTAATTATTAATATTTTAATAAATTATAAATTATTAATATTTAAAAATAAAATAAAAATAAATAATCATATATATAATGAAGGATTTTTTTTATTTTTATTTTCTATTCTTTTCTAATTTTAAAATTATTGTTATAATCAAACATTACAATAAGGCATAATAACTGTTCTTATTTATTCATTCGTCATAGCAAACTACATAATAACTATTCATTCTATTCCTGAACCAAACGTATTCAATAGATTTAAAAATAAAAAATTATAATTTTGTGAATTGTTAATTTTGAGGTTCTTAAATTTTGTTTGAATTAATTCTATTATAATTTTAAGTTAAGTACCCAACATCTATATATTTTAATTTTGAATTAAATAAAATTTTATCATTAGCGGATCAGTAGTTAAAATACCTTTTATCAGTTTTATGTTCGCGTGACATTGACATAACAGATGAAAACTATTATATGATCATGTCATAGTAATATATTATGTCATTATTTATTATGATATGTTAGTATAACACGTTAATGCTATATAACATAAAAATAAAAAAAATAATATTTTGACTAAAGATAATTAGTTAACTCTTAGTTATAAAGATTGATTGAATGTAATAAAAGAATAAAAATTTATTTACATATTTCTAAATAGATTAAAATTTCGTTAAAATATTATACCAATAATTTATAATATTACAAGAATTAAAAGAATTGAAATTTTGACTTTTATGTATTGACAAAAGCAAGACTTTACTTCTCCACATGGAAGCATTTGTATTTAAAAAAAAATTTACATGTTAACTTATTTGTTTATTTTAAACAGATTATACTATACTGCTTAACCACTAGTTTTTTTTTAAAATAAAAATTATAGAATCTAGAGTGAGGGAATTAGAAAATATTATCTCCTGTCTTGCTTAGTTATGTTGTTGAACAAGAAATAATTATATTAAATTGAATTATTTTTTGATAAGCATAGAGATCCATTAGGTCTTGAACAACACAATAGAAACTAAAGCTCTACTCGTCCCATAAACCCAATAACTTTTGTCGGTATTGTATGTTTTGAACAGTACACCATTTGGAATGAAAAATACTCAGCTTTTTATCAGGCTTTGAATCAAATGTCTAAACCAAAGAAAAGGAACAACGTTTTGATAGGACAGAACCAAAGAGGTTTGGTGCACAAGTGTGGTTATGAGTCGGCTACACTCAAAACTTTGTTATCTTTACATTGACATTCAACTGTATTAGGTAACAAGTCATTTTCTTATTAGTACATGAGATTTCCTACTGGCTATGTTACAAGCATTATGAAGGGGAGGCATATATTGACTAAACCTATGAAGAGATTTTCGTTCAACTCTTAATTCAAGTCCATAAATGTCTAAGACTATTGACCTGGTTATTTCAATTCGTAAGATTGGTGGTCTTTCATGAATTTGATTCGTAAAAATTATTATACATATAATTAATAATGATTTTTAATAGATTAATTGAAAATTAATCTATCAAATTAAATTATATGACTAATTAACACAAAAAAAAAAACTTAAAATCTAGAAGGACGGGTTCTAAGTATTAGCATTAAATAAAATGTACTTGGGATCCAATTTGGCAATATCCTTTTGATCCCGCCACAACCCCAACAGAGTAAAGCCAAGAAAATGAGTTGTGATGTTAATGGTACCAACTTTATGAAGTATATATATGGACTACACATTGGCCCATAACATTGTCCACTCATATTTCATAAATACCGAATATTCCTTTTCACAACTTGAGAATCAAATATCAACTATTTCTATTTTACTTTTATTTTTCAAATGAAATGAGTAATTCAATTTATCTCTAATTTATAAGTAAATATTGAGTACTAATTAATCATGTTTTTAGGATTTTGTTGATGGCTCAGCGCAGAGGTCTTCATGGCTGACTTCGACTGGTTGCGATCAGATTTATGTCGAGCTTGAACCCATTTATAATATATTAAAATAATACCTTTTTATTATTTTTTTCATAAAAAGTACTATTGTTAATATGATAAAATAATATTTCAATTGGATCGGCTCAAATTTCCCTAAAAGTTTAAACCTAAACTTGGGAGCCAGCCTACGTGGCAGTTCAACCCACGAATAGAATAGCTACAATATATCAACTTAAACTTCTTATTGCCTTAGAAATCTTAATTATAACTCAATTATGCCTATTAATTTTTTATTGAATTTCAGACATTAAATCAACCTACAATTTAATGTTTGGGCCAACTTACAAGCAATTATTACCATTAACATGATGTTTGCTTTTCAAAAAAAAATTTGGATGTAGATACAAAGTTAATTTTAGTTGTTCATATTTGATATGAAAGATTAAAAAAAAAAGTAAGGTTACAAAAAAAAGTAAAATATAAATATTTTTTTAATTTTTAATTATAATTTTATCTGAATATATTAAATATCAAAATAAATAATTCATTTCAAATGCATAAACAATGTTAATGGACAAATGGGAAATATAAAAATACTTTTACTCTTTCTACTTCCTTTTCATTATTGTGTTTCTAATTTATTATACATTTTATTAAAATAATCTTACATCCTAATCTTATAAAGATCCCTCATCAACATTAATTTCATAGATGTACATGATTATGAGATAACATACATCTTTTTGATTTAGAAGAGCATCCTCCGCAGTTCGGGATTATTTTAGATCTTATCTATCTAATTGTAGAAGACGTGGAGCATACTTCAACTTTCGAGTCTTTTTATCGCAAACGCCCAAATACTCCGGGGTAGGGCAGGGATATACTCCAAAAAAGGAAAAATAAAAAAGAAAAAGAAAACACAACTCGCCCCACCTTATGCAAAAAACTGCCAACCAGTCTCTATCTGCCACGTAAGCTAAAACTGAACTCCACACTAACCTAACCCTAGCTAAGAAAATGAACCCTCCAACAAATTTAAAAATCCACAAAACGACAATTGTATTCGCGTATTTATTCAGTTAGAGGCGAGTGAAGGCGGAAAAGGGAGTGTCTTCGCATTTCAGAGAAGGCCCAGAAGAAAATAGAGAGAGAGAGAGATAGAGAGGAGAGGGCTGAAAGGGTGTCGTTTTTTTATTAAAAAATGGCCGTATCCTCCTGTGCGTGTCCTCCTAGGGTTTTTAATGCTTATTCTTCATTCGAGTGCCGTTCCGATCCCGATTTCTCCGGCGCGCCGATCGGCGACAAGCCTCGGGTCCGGTCAAGCCGAAGGGTAACGGCGGCATCATTTTGTACTGGAGGAATCGGCGGCGGGGGTCTGTCGTCTCTGATCTTTCGTTTCCCGCCAAACTTCGTTCGCCAGCTCAGCATTAAGGCTCGCCGCAACTGTAGCAACATCGGTGTCGCGCAAATAGTCGCGGCTTCGTGGTCGAACAGTCCCGCCTCAGGTTCCCCTTCCTCAGCGGCGGCTGCTGCTCAGGCAGCCGCAGCCGCCACCGTCCACGTTTCTGATGACGTGGCGGTTGTACAAGGTTGTAATGACAACGGTAGTGTACAGATTGGGGGTTCAGATAATTCAACGACATCCTTTTTGAGCTCCGATGGGAGCATCACGGTTCATGCTGGTAAATAAACTAATCAATTTTAATTTTTAATTTCATTGAATTATTTTATTTATTTATTTATTTATGTTTTCTTTTAAAAAGTTTCGATTTTGAAGGAAAGGAAAGGATAGCGATATTTGTGGTTTTTATGTATTCATGTTTTGGAGATAATTAATAATTTTAAAAATTACGGTAATATGTGGATATTATTTAAGATTCGTTTTATCCAGATTTGATGATTAATTAGTAAATATTTAATTATAATTTCCTTAAAATACGTTTTTTTCTGTCATTAAATCCTTACATTTACGTGGAAAATAAGAATATGAAGCCTTTTATTATTATTTGTTTAATAATTAAAAACTAAAGAGATTATGTGCTTTCTTTTTTTTTTTTTTTCTGCAGGTGAAAGATTAGGTCGGGGTATAGTTACTGATGCAATTACTACTCCAGTGGTTAATACTTCTGCTTACTTCTTTAAGAAAACTCAGGAGCTTATTGACTTCAAGGTATAATAATAATAAGAGCCTTAATGAATTGGTTGTCTAAATAGTTAATGTTTGCATTGATTTAATGGTTTGCTTCTCAAGGTTCTATTGAAATAAATATCTTGGTTCATTATATGCTAAATTGCCATATTCAGAATCAACTATGAAATGTCACCTTTTTTTTTTTTTTTGGTGCATGAAATATCACCTTGTTAGTGTTTGCCAAAATACAATCTCGAAGATGTCTTATTTTTATTATTCTTTTGAGGAGTAATGAAGTAATGAAATGTCTTAAAAGCATTTGATGGTTGACCCAGAGATCTAATTGCATTAACATTTGTGTGATCTTGTCATAGGAGAAACGCCATAAAAGTTTTGAATATGGACGGTATGGAAATCCGACGACAGTGGTTGCAGAAGAGAAGATTAGGTCCGGCTGCCTCTCTCTTTTTCTCATTTTTAATAGTCCTTTTTGTTAAATTAAATGGCATTTGCTTGTCACTGGAATCTTTGTTGTTGACACATTTATAAGCTGATCTTTCTTTGTTTCAGTGCACTTGAGGGTGCTGAATCGACCCTAATTGTGGCATCTGGAATGTGCGTTAGCACTGTCATGCTGATGGCATTGGTTCCTGCTGGTGGGCATATTGTGACAACAACGGATTGCTACCGGAAGACTAGGATATTCATTGAGACAATTCTGCCTAAAATGGGAATCTCGGTATGGCTTCGAATTTATTATTGTTACTCTTTTGGTTGGGTTTTGTATTCTTTTCTATGGTGATCTAATCACCTTAATGATAAGATTTCCAAGGTGATTTGATCACCCTAAATAATTTCTAACGATAATATTGGTGCACCTACGGTAACATAGTTTTTAGGGCAAAAGTTTACGCCTGTCCCCATTATTTATTGTGTTTCCTTTTGTTATATATGGGAAGTACAGTTGTGATAATAATCAAATGCTGCTTTTAGCAATTTTCAATGCTTGCCTTGCTTAAGTGTTTATATTTCTACCGTTATGCGAGTTGCAATATATTGAAAATTTGGTGTAATTTCTAATTGAGTTTTGGCTGTCATCCAATGCGCAGGCTACTGTTATTGACCCTGCAGATGTGGATGGCTTGGAGGCTGCACTGAACAAGAATAAAGTCAGTAGCGTAGAAGTGGTTCCATTGCACTGCTAGATTTATCTTTTTATGTTTACTTTGGAAATGGCAGTTCATCCTGAGTTGAAAGTGCATTATGATTCCATACAGGTTTCTCTTTTCTTTACTGAGTCTCCAACAAATCCGTTCCTCAGATGTGTTGACATAGAAAAAGTTTCAAAGCTGTGTCACAGCAAAGGAGTACTTGTCTGCATTGATGGTACCTTTGCTACACCTCTTAACCAGAAGGTCCTGGCCCTTGGTGCTGATCTTGTTTTGCACTCTGCAACAAAATTCATTGGGGGCCACAATGATGTAAGCACTTGCTCTTGTTAGTCTAGTCAGTTTGAAATAAGTTCTCCCTTCATGTGTCCATTATCATTAATTCAAGCAATAAACTAGGGTAATTCTTCTTGCCACAGGTTCTTGCTGGTTGTGTTAGTGGTTCTGAGAAGTTGATTACTGAAATTCGTACTTTGCATCATATTTTGGGCGGTACTCTCAACCCGGTTAGTTGTCCTGAATCTTGATTAAGCAGTTTTATGGTGTATTTCATCTCAAACTGTATGTATTTGTTTGTCTGTCTTGAGTAGATTTGTTTGGTAATTCTAATCAGTTAAGAGGACTATATCGTTAGGTGGTATTACTTGCACTTCTTGTCTAAGAAGAATGTGTTTTTTTGTTTCAAGAATGATGTTTTAATGACTTCCACCTTACCCTTTTGAAGATTTGCACCCTACTTTTTCTCCATTGTAAGTTGCATGGTTCACAAAATGATATGACGTTTCTATGTTCAAACAGAATGCCGCGTATCTGATCATCAGAGGCATGAAGACACTGCATCTTCGTGTACAGCAACAGAATTCAACAGCATTGAAGATGGCCAAAGTTTTGGAGGCTCATCCTAGGGTACAAGTGACATTCCGTTATTCTATTCTTGTTTATCTATGTTCCATTTAACGCAACTGAATTTAAGAACCAAACATGGTAAACTGAATAAAAAAAGGATGGGAATACTGAAATCAATTTAAAAGAAAGGAGAGACAGTGTGCATGTGAGTCAAGTTGGGTGCTGTTGGATTTGAGTGTCTCAATGAACAATTCTTTCCGTTATTTGGTTGTTCCCATCATTTTATGTCGTTTCTATGCATGTCTGAACTTCCTGGAGAGGAATTTGGTTTATTTTCAAAGAATCTGATAGTGCATCTGGTTCCCACTGGGAATATTTCCTTGATTGTTGGTATCATGTTGTATTTGCATGGGATTACTGGTTGAGTGACCTTCATCAATTTTTTGATGTTATATTTTGACACCATTCAGAATTCATTTGATTTATCATTTGTTACTTTTTCTGACTTTGGACTTATTTTCGTAATCTTTTGGTGTATTAAATGTTAATGGTAGGTGAAACGCGTCTATTATCCAGGCTTACCAAGTCATCCTGAACATGAAATTGCCAAGCAGCAAATGACTGGCTTTGGTGGTGTGGTCAGTTTTGAGGTTGGTATTATTTAACTACTTAAACCTCGTAACTGGAAATACATCGTTAATCTCTGTTGTTCGATTTGGTGTAATTCATGCAAAAATTGCTCAAAATTCATATATTCTAAATCATTCAGGTGGATGGAGATTTGATGACCACCATTAAGTTTGTTGATGCATTGAAGATACCATACATTGCCCCATCCTTTGGTGGATGTGAAAGCATTGTGGATCAGCCAGCTATAATGTCCTATTGGTATGGCATTATTTCTCTATACTTGTGTTCGGCACTGCTTGTGTTTATCTGTCTAGGCAACAGCTCTACTTTTGGACTGAGAGTTCTTTTTTTTTGGACTTGTGGGAAGGGAATTTGAACTCTGCATTCACTCTTTTAAGCAGGAAATCATATATCAATCAATAAGTCAAATGTTTGGATGCTTGTTGATAGATTAAGATCTAGGAGAGAAAAATGCAGTAATAGTAGAAGACATATAAAGCAATAAGAACATAATTGAAGCTTTGCTACTGTTATAGTAGTGAAAAAACGGGTAGATCCAAATTATTATCATGGTTAGCAATGACAGTATGTTGTTATTTGGGGGATGGTTCTGAAAGTGCAGTAATCATTTTGTGCGTTATGAAACAGGGATCTTACCCAAGCTGAGAGGCGAAAGTATGGAATCGAGGATAACTTGGTCCGATTTAGCTTTGGAGTTGAAGACTTTAAAGATTTGAAGGCTGATATACTCCAGGCCCTGGAAACCATATAAAGGCGTGCATTGCCTGCCCTTTTATATATTTTCAGACTCTTCATTACAAGCCTTTTGGTCTGGCCTAGTTATTTTGGTGTTTCAATTGGGCAGCTCATTGCTTGAATGAAGTAATGATCTGTTGAATAATTGGCTACTTTATTTAATGCTTTTTCTCAATGCGATGCGGATTTTGATGATGTAATCAAAACTGAAAAGGAAAATGCAAGCTCACGGAGGAATTCCCGTTCATGGGATTGACGTTGTTCAAACTTTCTTGCCTTGCAAAATGAATTAGTTGAGCCAAATTCCAACTTAGTTATTCAAGTCCAGCCAAGTGGTAAAATTCAAAAAAATGTTCTTAGCAAATGACCCAAGGCAATCAAGTGGATGAGACCCGGTCATTTTTTATAGAGATGAAAAAAACAAAGGTAAAAACGACCTTTTCCTTTTTAAAACTTTTGCTCATGTTCGGCCTTGAAATAATAATAATAATGGTAAAAAATAATTAAAGAGAAAAACAAAAAAGGAGTCTGCTGGTGCTTGATGCTTGACATTTGTCTTGCACTTCTAACAAACAGCCAAACAAACAAACAAGATCAAAAGTTGACAAAATCCTAGAGGTTTCCCATTTTTCTTTGTAGCAAAAAAATTGGCAACAATGCAAAGAAAAACACGACTTGATACTTAGAATTAGAAGCCAATTTAGTAAGTATTTACTATTTTTATCTATTTATCATCATCCTTATCCATTTTCCATTATAAGATTCCAAATGCCTGCTAACCCTTTCAGATTCTCTACCCTTTTTCATTCTCTCTCCCCTCTACTTCCACTTGAAACCAAGCATACTAACACCCCAAAGAAAATCTTCATCGTGATTGTCCAACCAAACCAAAAACAGCCAAGTTTTCAATGAAATTCGGCAAAGAGTTCAAGACCCATCTAGAGGAGACTCTACCCGAGTGGAGGGACAAGTTCCTATGCTACAAACCCTTGAAGAAACTCCTTAAAAACCTTCCTCAAACCCCAACCCTTGATGCTCATCTCCCACATGATCAACGACCCGTATTTGCTGACACCACCAACACCGCTGTTACGACCGTTGATCATGCTCATCGACAGCCTCCGGTTGATTTGCAAGATTGGTTTGTGAGAATTCTGAATGAAGAGCTTGAAAAGTTCAATGATTTTTATGTTGATAAAGAAGAAGAGTTCGTTATTCGCTTTCAGGTTCTTCGCTTTTTACTCTCTCTTTTATCTTCACCTAGCCGTGACATTTCGTATTACGAATGAGGAAATGAGTTATTGGGGTTTTCTTAATTTTTCCATTCAATGGGGAGCTTTTTTTTTGGGTTTTTTTTTTTGGATTATTATGAGAATGACGTTAAATTTTGCCTCTAGATGACATGAATCGAAAATGAAGTAAGATTGCAGCAGTTAAGGGTGTTTTTGCTTTATAGATTGTTAAGTTTCTGAAATTTAGGAAGTGAACTATGGTAGTGGAAGCAGGTTTGAAGTGTCAATGAGAGTTGCGAAACTCTGATTGTTGGTATAGGTAAAATATTGAGGATATGAGAGTTATAACTTCCAAGACAATGTTTCAATGCCCTTGGTTCCTCTGTGATATACTTGTCTTTTAAATTTGTGCTCAAAAGTTCCTATTTTGGCGTGCAATTTATAAAGAAATTGTTCATTAATGATGAAACTTAATGCAAGCTTTGAAATTTTCAAGTAATATGGCATCAGGAATCAGTGCTGGATAGCGTGAATCAGATATCTTGGGGAGTTTATAACTAAATGATGTTGCTTGCATCTGAGTTCTGGCATAAGTTTTTGTAACCTATCTATAATTTGAGTATTCACCTGCTGTTAAGCTGATAGGACAGGAATATTATTGGTATCTCATCGTTATACAGATGTCTTAAAATGTTGTTCCTCTTATAACTGTTTAATATTGTGTTTCATGAGCAGTTTACATGGGTAACATCGTTTCTCGCAATGATTCTAAAGTGGTTTAGTCCTTTGAAATCTACTCAAGTCATTAAAGAAACCTGAATTGGTCATTGTGTTTGATATGCCTTGATCTCGAGTTCATCTCTTGTTATTTAAGGTGGCTCTACCTGCTTATCGAACCGATTTTAACTCAATAAGCACTTCTTTCATCACCACCCTCATCATGGTCTTCTTATTTCCGAAGTGTAAATGGCCAGTTAATCTTTTAGATCTTTTTAATTTTCCTTTAATCAGAATGTGGGTTTTCCTTCTATGTTGTAGTTGTCATTTATCGCGCCAAAACAAGGGATTGAAGTCTGTGATCTAGTATATAAAAATCAGTGATCTTCTGTAACTGTTTGTAAGTAGTTTATCGAGTTCTTTTGGTTTAGGTTTTGGTGCTTGAGAATATGAATTTGTATAAGCATTGTTCTGTATGCCTTTTAGATGCCAAGTATAATAATCCCCTTCATTGGAGGCATGGACTCTTCAGTGTTATATGGATGCTCATTAATGTTTTATTTTGTAATTTTTTAGTTCAACTATAACTTTATAACAGGAGCTGAAGGAGAGAATTGAACAAATTAAGGAGAGCAGTGGAAACCTTGGGGTTATTACATCGGAGAGTGAATTTAGTGAAGAAATGATGGATATTCGCAAGGATCTTGTCACAATTCATGGGGAGATGGTGCTTCTCAAAAATTACAGTTCCCTTAATTTTGCCGGTACAGTGGTTACATCATCAATTTCTTTCTGCTATATGGATCTGTCAGTTTCTAAACCATTTCTGCATTTCTGCTTAATAGGGCTTGTTAAAATTTTAAAGAAGTATGATAAACGAACAGGGGGACTGTTGCGACTACAGTTCACCCAACTTGTCCTTCGCCAGCCTTTCTTCACGACAGAATTTCTTACAAGGCTTGTCCACGAGTGTGAGGCAAATCTTGAGCTTCTCTTTCCACTGGAAGCAGAAGTCATTGAGTCGACCACACAAGGAGAACCGAACGCACCATCAAATAACACTGCAAATCATTCGCTGGATGCTTCATCAACTCTGGGAGAGGGAACCTTGGATATATATCGTAGTACTCTGGCAGCAATGAAAGCAATACGTGGCCTTCAAAAGGCAAGCTCCACGTACAATCCATTATCATTCTCAGCTCTCCTTAAGAACCGGGATGATGACAGTGGTGCTGTAACAGCAGAAAACTCCGCTTCAAACACTTCAGCCACTTTGCAAAAGGGAGAGGAGGCTGATAAAGAAGATGCGCAATCTGTGCAACATTGCTAGTTTTTCCTCTTTCTTGGCTTCTTTTAGCCTTTATTTTCGTTTTATATGTTGGAACAACTGACAAATGAATAATGTGTTGCAAGCTGTGTTTTACAATCAGTTTCACAGTACATAAGCTGGGTTAAAAATTAAGGTAGCATTTATCAGAAGAGCATTTTTTGGAATGTTTTACATTGAGAAGCCTAGGGGAGTAGGGCGATTTGGGCTTTAGACCTTGACCCTCCCAATGTTGGGAAACAGCTGCTGGGTCAAATGCAATTTCGGTTGACATTTTCCAAGTGGTTCGAAGGTCCAAGCATGTGGATGGGTGTTCAAGCTGATTTGGTTATATCTACCATTTTTTTGTTCTTTGTTAAGCCAAGGCATTTCATTAATATAATCAAAGAAAATTGGAAATTCTCTCGTCAATGTGAGGAGGGAACAACCTCATTTATAACCCTGTCCTCAAAAATCACATAAAAACTACAGATTGTCCAAAAGACCACAAAAAGCCACGTGCATGAAATAAACTCCCAAATCCACAAATGCCTCCATGTGTCATCCCTCCTTCGATCTGGGCTTGGAAGTGGGGGCTAGCCATATGTATTTTTGTTGTCAATCATTCTATTGCTAACTGCTTGTTGAGTAGTGATTCTTTTGTAATTGCATAGTGGATTAGCCCTCCAGGTTCCCTATGTCACTAAAGTTTTTTGTCAATTAAGCTAAAGATTTACCGTGGTATTACCGGTTATAGAGAAATGAAATTCACTTTTCAAAAGAAAAAAAAAATCGTTTAACCTATTGAGAAAGATGCTCGGTGTAATCAGGCTTATGAATTTTCTTCAACTCCATGATAAGACACCCTTCCCTTCCCTTCCCTTCTCTTTAGTTTGGGTAAAATACTTTTATTCTTTTAAGTTTTGATTGAAATTATACAGAAATTTATTAGTTTTCGAAATAGATACTTTATCTTAAAAAAATATTTTTTACTAAACACATAAATCCAACCATTAATCAATTGTCAATATTTTCGTCAATTTACTAATGTGGTAAAAGTAAAAATAATAATTTTACCTTTGATTAATTTTTATAATTACTATTATATAATTTTATTATTTTTTATTCTTTTTATCAATTCCAAAAAAAAAAACTCCCCATCTGTGGAGCATCAAATCTGGTGCTCCCTTGGATAGCCCCACAGGGAGCACTTGGTGCTCGCATATTGAGAGTCCCAACCGGGCTCCCCAAGGGGAGCATGGGTGCTCCCCTTTTCTTGAGGAGTTGGAGAGCACTGATAGATGCTTTTTTTTAAAAAAATAAAATTTTAAAAATATAATAATAATTTTTAAAATTAATAAAAAAATATTTTAATTTTTTCTTAATCTTTGTTAATTATATTTGTATTTTTGTGGTAGAGTGTACACTTTGAAAATTAATGAATTTATTTAAAATTTGACTAAAATTTAAATAATGGAGGTATTTTACTCTTTTAATTTTCAAGCCCCCAAAATGAATGATGCTGCCGATGGTAAAGCATGTCAACTTATCATCAAAGGAACAAGAAAGCTTGTTACACAAGCTTGGCATAACAATTTCTTAGTAATTACAGACCAATATCGATTACCTATAACAACAATTTCCAATCCATATAATTATTCTCATCTTGGCTTCTGCTTCCCTTGAAGAACAGTTTCCAGTTGAGAGAATTATTCTCATCTTGTCTTTTGCTTAAAATTTCAATTACTCATCCACTGGCATCATGATTGGTTTGTAAAATAGAATAGTTATTTTATGAAAAAAGAATAAGATAGAAATTGAATTGAATAAAGCAAGAATTGTTATTATGATTTGTTTTAATATTTGATTGATAACAATAATTTTGAAATAACTAAAGAACAAATTATAAAATTACAAAACTACTCTTTATTGTGATAAAATTTATTTCATTAAAAACAAAAATACCCTTTCTATAATTTAATAAAATTTACGCCAAAATACAAAATTAAGCA